TTTACAAATATAAAAAATATTTCTACAAAGATGCCAAGACATTGATGTTATGGGTTGCCTTTTCTACAGAGGGAAATTGGATGGCCTGGGACAACAAAAGTACGAGGGAGATTCTTGTACTGTATACCATTTTGTGTCTTCTGAATTTTGAACTATTTCAATGTATTATCTATTCAAAACAATGCAAATTGTTTCCAAAATTGTAACAAGGTAAAAATATCTTGTTAAAATGTCTAGCTTGTTACTTGTAATACTGTGACTAAAATCTAAAATTAGGACACAGTTTCTCTTCTATTTGAAGTTTGCCTCCTTTCTGTTCACATTGAAAAGGAAACAAAATATTTGACTCTCTTGTGTAGGTGCTTCTCTGTGTTGAGCCCCAGACTCCCACCCCATCCTTTGGTTTAAAGTTCCTAAACAGAGGGCAGATGAATGGTCTTAGGAAGAAGCATTTTTAAAATTTTCTTTTTTCTTCAGTATGTGTCTTTAAATGTTTATGTATGTGTGATATAAAAAGAAGTGATTGGAAAACACTTTCATGGATTTCAGTTTTAAAGATTTGGGACAAAGTGATTCAAAAAGCTGGAAGTGTGATGATAGTCTTGTTTTCTCTTTTAGATATTAAACATCGTCGAATTCCAATCTTATTCTTTGCAAACAAAATGGATCTTAGAGATGCAGTGACATCTGTAAAAGTGTCTCAATTGCTGTGTTTAGAGAACATCAAAGATAAACCATGGCACATTTGGTAAAGTTTTATGTTTACTTTTTATTTTATCTTTTTGAAAAATCTCCAAGCTTCAGGGTTTTTTCTGACGTCAGGTAGGATATAAGCTAAGGATTTTGTTTTATACATCTGTGATATTACAGATATTCATGAATATATTACCATTAAAACCTTTTCAAATATTTTTGGGGATAGAAAAATATAAACAACTCTTATAATGGAATAACTTAGAAGCTCACTCACCCATCATACCTACGCTGATTTCCTCATGCACATGGAATCAGCCAAGCACAATTCCATCTCAGGGCATTGTGCACTGGTGTCCCCCTACTTGTCTGAATCATTTTCTAAAATAATTTTCCTGGCTTGCTGGTGTACTTCAGGAGAGTCACTATTACCGTGTGACTTCTTTTCTTTTTTTTCCCATTCACTTCAGTAACCCCTACAGTAGTGATTGTACCTGGTATATAATAGGCACACAATAAATATTTGTTAAAAAGAATAAATAGAAATGGAAATTTTGGTTTTATTTAGACATACTAATAAGGTTGAGCTCTTAAATAAGTGGTCTCTGAAATTATTATGTATTGTTTATTTGGAAAACAGTCTCTTACTAATATATTTAACTCCAATGTGCCTTTCTCCCAACGTATTCCAA